GGTAGGTCGAACTTCAGCGGCGGTGGTCGACGCAGGACCTGGAGGTAACTGATCTCGTGGTAGACGTCCTCGATCCCCATAGTTAAGGGTGTGTAGGCGTCGCACCGTTGCGGCTTTGGTCACTTGTTTTCCCCTTGGCTCGTCAAGGCATTGCCACCCCTATTGCTCGGAGCGGGTTGTACCTCTGCTTGGCTTGCACCTGAGGGTGACCTCGGCGCTTCTTACCGTTGTTTTGGCTGCTCACCTACCCTACCTCTTCCTTGGCAGGGGTTGCCACCTTACTCTTCAAGGCTTTCTTAGCCTCCTCGGCGTTGATGAACCCCTGTGCCCGTATTAGGAATTCCTGGTAAGTGTGGGGTGGTCTCTATTCGAGGTTTGTGCTACAGGGGATATCTTTTTTCATACTCGACAGCGCCCCCATCAAGGCCACCTCATCGGAGATTCCCTCAGTGGCGGTGACCTGTTCCCCAAACTAGGCTATCCAGTCCTTCAGGGACTCATTAGGCCCTTGGTACACCCTTGAGAGGTTTTGTTTAGGCAGGATGTATTTTTTGACACCTATGAACTGAGTCAAAAAGGCATTCTTCAAATCATCCCAACTAGTGATGGAGTTTGGTTTCAAGGATCTGAACCATCTCCTTGCAGAATCGGAAAGGTGATTCCTGAATGTTTTGCACATGACCTCCTCGAGGTATCCATGCAGGACCATATGTCCTGTGTACACATCCAAGTGGTCGTCGGGATCACTCCTTCCGTCATATAGCGGGATGGGGGCGATTTATACTTGTCTGGCAACGGCACCCGGATAATATTTTCTGTGAACGGGTGGTCGTGGGACGTGTACATCTTGGTGTCGACATTGACCGCCTCGGCTACCTTCCCCACAACTTGCTCGAAGTTGTTTAATCGACTCTCCATATGCTTTTCAAGCCTGGCCATCTTCTCAGCAAGAGCCTTGTTATCTGTTTCGAGCTCTTCCTCTCTTGCTAGTTGCACGACTTTCCCACGTCGAGCTTCGTCCTAAGGTCTCCGCCGTGCACAGACGAGGATCCCACGGGGATAACATTCCTCCTATTCGTGTCCTGTTGCGGTCGAGGGGGCGCGTCCCTGTTATTCACAGCTTGCGCCACAGTCTTCTCCCGCGCTCTCTTCCGTGCCGCCCTTTGCTTGCTCCCCTCAGACCTATTTGACTTGGTCGGGCGAGAATCGTTGGCTCGACTATCGCCGATTTCCTCAGTGTCACCGCGTTGGTCACCAATCCCTTGGTCTCCAACGGCGGCGTTCGTCGGGTTCATCGGCGCATCCTCCAACGGTGGCATTGAGTTTTGCCCTTGATCCCGCCCAACAAGGGCCGTAGCCATCCTTTCTACGGCTGTGGCCAGCATTTCGACCTATTTTTGAAGCTGGTCGATACGGTCTGGGGGATTCACAGCGGCTGGTGGGAATGGGTTCGCTGAAGTCCCCACGGCGGTGGGATTTTGGCTTGCCTGGCTCCTCTGGTCGGCCGTCAGCAAGCGAGCATTCCTGGGAGGCATGGTTGCTATTTCTTTTTGGTTAAAAACTAGATTAGATTTATGGGCTTAAAGGCCCCTCCTTCTAGCGCCAATTGTTGACGGTGTTTTTCTGACAACTCGTAATTATCTCTCCAAAAACACTCACGGTGGCATTCACGGTTCGATCAAAGATAAAAACTGAAAATAATGCAAAGGGGACAGTTATTTTATAGTGGTTCGGCAATAACTCTTTGCCTAATCCACTTATGAATGCACTAATATTCCAGCCGATTACAAGCTTTTTCTCAGTAATGAAATGGTGTCTAACCCCTTTTTTGGGGGTTCTTGGCTCTATTTATAGGCCTTTACATGTGACTATGCCTTCCCCGTTCCCAAGGTGGAAGCCATCTTCCGTCCTCGATACTCGGGAGGGTAGGTGGGTTTTCATGATGACTGCCCCAGGAAACGTGGCTGATCCTTCTGTTTTGCCGCCTGATTTCCTGACTCCTGCAGTAGCGGTCGGATTAATACTTCCCTCCTCGAGTTGACAAGACTGCTGGTGGAGAAGACTGGCAGTGCTTCCTCGACGCAATGGCCTTCGGAGGTCAAGTTACTGCGCTCGACGCCTCTCGCCCCGTATGGTCTCTCGACGTGAAGGGCACATTAACTACATCCGTTCCCTCGACGCCAGCGGCTGATCCTCTGCGGGGAGTCCTCGGCATCTGTCGTTCGAGAGAGTGATCGATCTCTCGACCATGGTGTAACACAAAGAATTCTTTACCAAAGTATATCAATATTGTATTATTTTTAACCTCGACTTTCATCAAGTTTATTAAACTAAATTGTGTTTAACGACACCTTAAAAGTTGCACAATATATATATATATATATTTTAGGAAAAAAAAAATATTGTAGATTAAAAGAGTTCAAAAGTGTTGCATAATACTTTTATAAATAAAAAAAAAAAAAAAGAAAAAAAGAGAGAGTAGATTATAAGAGTTCAAAGAAAAAGACGTTGCGTGATGAGAGCAAGGAAGGGTTGGCGATGGGCCTCCTCTACACACCAAGTCATCAAGCGGATGCCTTTGTTAGGCGCAGGTTGCCATCCCACAATCGCAGCCGGTATGATGGGCGACCCTTGTATTGGCACTATGTTCACCGGTGGGCCCCACCCGAAGTCCACATCATTGAACCCCAGTCGGCCCCACTCCGACACAAACAATGTGTCATACGACATTGGTGGGAAAAACGGATCCTCCTGATCATGATCATGATCTCCTAATTGGCCCTCAAGATCACCCTTGATCCTACTATTCCTGTACTTGTCAAATTCCTTGGGAAGCTCCGCCTTGGCTTCTTGTATAAGCTTCACCACCTCCACAACTGACGCCGTCGCCACCGACTCCTTCGGAGCCGTTATTGTTACGGGAAAGAAACAGTTTCCATAAAAACCTTTCGGCAGGGGAGGATTCAGCAGCTGACGACAGTTGGCAAAGAACACAAACTTAACCAATTGACCACCCGCTGTATCAGCACTACTAGTTGTTAGTATTGCCCGTGTTCGGCACCTCCAGAAAGCGGCCGCTACGATTTCGAAGGTGGAGCATCTCCGTCCCGTTGAGTGTTGGAACTCATGCTTGAGCTTGTCGATCTGATCCATGGAAATGTCCACGTTTGCCTGTTCAAGGCGGTAGTTTGGTATTGGTGGTGGTAGAAGATGAGTAATTGGGTGATTTGGTTGTGAATATTGTGATGATATGAAGAAGTCTCTACACCAGACGGGTATGACGCTGAGTTTGTCAAGGCCTCTGGCAAACTCTCCCACGGCGTTGAGGAATTGGGCTGAGCCTAGGCCATCGCAAATTGTGTGACTAAATATCATACCAATCACGAATCCACCGCATGCAAATCCAGTCACCTGCAATATTATTCAACCATATATATAACATATATTTGTCACTTCCACAAAAAAAATATATATATACTCCAAATAAATGCGTGTTTTTACTATTGATTTGCACCTATGTTTCCCCCCTCCAATATTTTATGATTTCAGGACTTCTATAAAACACTATTAAGAAGTGCTTCTAGTTGGAATAAAAATTTCAATTTTCAAAGTTAAAAATCTAGATAAAGGAAAGCTCAATTAGAGTACTATCACTTCAATTAATTAATAGGATATACTCAATCCCCTTGAAAAAGAAAAAAAAATCAAAATTTATGGCTCCACCTCTAATTAATTTGAGTTGGTTTTGGTGGTGATAATAATTGAAAAATACCTGCATTTGTATAAGTGGCTGGTCATTGGCTTCTTCGGGAGGGATTAATTGGTTAGGGAGGAGATCAAGATATGAGATAGGGGAAGCATAAGCATCATCAAGATAATCAACTGCACCAAGAGTACAGTTGGCAGATGCCTCCACAAACCAAACACCTTCTCCAGAACATTCCACTTGGAGCTCGCCTTGGCACGACTCCTTAAGCCGACCAGCGAGAGGGTAGTAGGCGACCAATGCCCTCGACAATGCTTCTCTTATGGCTACAGATGCTGCTCCATGAGACAGGCCTTGTTTGTAGACGTGAAGCGTGCGCGCATTGCATCTCAGGACAGCTACTTTGTCCATGCCTGAGAGTTCCAGCGTCGTTGTTGGCGTCTTTTCGCACGGCTTCACCAAGCTGTGACTTGATCTTACCACGGAGAAATCCATTTCTGTGCTTATTAGTGATAAGTTTTTGTTGATTCTTTCTTTTTTTTCTCTTTTCTTTTTTTTTTTTTTTTTTTGGTGTACAAGACTATAGGAGTGTGTATATATAGAACACGTGTATTGTTATGGATATATTGGAGTCTTGATCTTATTATATAATACTTTGGATCGTACGCTTTGCTTTAAAGTCTAAAAATGGTTCGGTGCTCAAATGCTGTCATTTGATATAAGGAGATAACTTTACGCAGCAGTGTGTGCAAGAAGATCAATAGCAAAATTTTAGCAACCACAAGAAGAAAAACAGAAGGTTTTTGATGACTTGCAGTGAAAATTACACAAACTCAGACGTAGGGACCAACCAACAATACGTTAGCCTACATGCAACCTCTCTTGCTTTCAAAAATCAAGGGCTTTACGGCCCAATTGTTCGTCATTTTGGGCCTTCAAAGTCCAATATTGAAGATCAAGAGGAGTGAACACAACTTGCCCATCTTCGATTACTAACAAGGCCCGGTGATCCCATAGCCGAAAAAAGAAGGCCCAGTGATTCAACCGAAAATTCATTGGATATTGGACATTTGAAAATTGATGATTAATTAATTTTTAAAAAAATTTAAAAATAGAGAATTTACCTTGAGAGTGTACGAGTCTAGACTTTTATCCCTCATTCTTGATAAATATCTTTTTATTAGTATAATTATTTAACTAAAAAAATTATAAATTAAAAATAAAAGATAAAAATTCTGATTCATGCACTTTTAAAAGTATTTGTAAAACTTACTGTGATTCTTAGGTTTCCTTTATTCGTAGTTAGAAGTTTTGACATGTGGTGGAAAGCTCTAGTTTGACTAAAGGTAGTATCTTCGACTACTCTCAAAATAGACCGTTGAATGTTACGTTATTAGTTAGTCGTTAATATATCAGCAATGTAATTTAACTTTGTATAAGGATGAATCTGCCTTCCTTCAAAAAAACAAAAAAAAAAAGATGAATCCGCCAGCTAATATAGTTTTTGTTTAGCTCGTTAGTTTAAATTTTGTTAATTTGAACAGAAAAATTAAAATTGTGCAGTTTAAATTGTAGTTGGAATTGAAGTTTGGATGTGTAATTTTATTAGTGTAATTATTTAACTAAAAAATTTTTGAATTAAAAATAAAAGATAAAAATTCTGATGCATGCACTTTTAAAAGTATTTGTAAAAATTACCATGATTCTTAGGTTTCCTTTATTCGTAGTTAGAAGTTTTGACATGCGGTGGAAAGCTCCAGTTTGACTAAAGGTAGTATCTTCGACTACTCTCAAAATAGACCGTTGAATATTACATTATTAGTTGGTCGTTAATATATCGGCAATGTAATTTAACCTTGTATAAGGATGAATCTGCCTTCCTTCAAAAAAAAAAAAAAAAAGGATGAATGTGCCAGCTAATATAGTTTTTGTTTAGCTCGTTAGTTTGAATTTTGTTAATTTGAACAGAAAAATTAAAATTGTGTAATTTAAATTGTAGTTTGAATTAATGTTTGGATGTGTAATTAAAGTTTTAATTTAAAAAATAAAATAAAATTTGAATTTGTGTTTAGTTATAGTGTGAAAGGCAAAGAGAGTGGACATTTTTTTAATGTGACACCTTTAGACTGTTTAGAAATAGTCAGAACGGTTGAACTTAATGATTAACTAAATTCTAAATTAGGTCGTTTAACTTAATTTAAATGTGAAATATAATTCAAACTATATGTTTACTAAACGTCAACTCAAAATATGCTCATCATTTAATTAAGTTAAACCGAACTAAATCAATAAAATAAAAAAGGCATATAATATGATTCGTTCTCTTGCTCTTCAGACTAGTCGACATACTTCACAGAGAACCTTTCGTCATAAGCCACGAGAACTTAAAAATACTTTTCTTTTTTATCTGAGAGCCAACAATATACATGCACCATTATTGTTTGGCTTTGAAACCTTATATTACACGCTATTTCAAGAAAGAGGAAAATAATAATAAAAATAAGAGAACTTCGTCTGAAGGTGAAAGTGGGGTCCCATTCAACCTATGACGGATGATCATTAACAAGTTGGGAGGTAAATGTTAATAGAACGTTTGGTTTATAAGTTTAAAATTATGATTATTCATGATTTTAATTTTTAAAATTTTAATTTTTTATGAGAAAAAAATATTATAGATAATTAAAAATTATGATTTAAAATCAAAGACGAACCCTTAAAATAAACATCTCATAAAATTATAAGTGTAAATGATAAGTTATCAAAGGCTGAAAAGTTAATGAGAAATGTGCATTCTACCCTATTTTTTTATTTTCAGATCATCCACAAAGATGTAACAATTTTGATAAGAACTACCCATATAATATAATACTCTCTGATTTTTATCAATAGTACATGGACATCATTTTGATCGAATTTTATTTCAGTAAAATCCATTGACCGTAAAAAATATTATAAATATTTTTAATAATATCCTCTAAAGTCTAAACAATTAAAAGTAGCTTAAGTAACTACAATATAGACGAATTTGCGATTTTATCCCTCAAATGTTACATAACCAACATATTTTTGGCGAATTATAATTTTTATCATAATTTTTTTTTTTTTCATCTATTATATGTCTGATATCTTCTCATGCATTTCATTTACAATTTTGTCTATAGAATTTCGGCCTTTTTTACGTCAATGTTTTGCATCAGGTGTTTTGTTTTTGTTGTATTATTCTTGGTTTTGTATCCAACATTTTAGACTTTTTTGCCGGTGTCATATTCAACTGTAAGCCCCAAAACGTTAGAAAGAAGATTTTTTTTTAAACAAAAAAAAAAAGATAAACAGCCGAAATGCTTTGCAAATAATAAAAAATAATATATTATCTTTGATAGGCTGCCTTACATTAAAATCAAATGTGATTAAAAAAGTATACAAAATAAATAATTTTTATACAGATTTAATGACTATAAATAGCTAAAAAAAATTACATAATTTTATTTTACGTAATTTTATTTTTCTAATTTTAAAGAAAGAATTTTTTAAAAAATAAAATCGATTTTTTAGAAATTATAAAGTAAACAAAAAATAAAAAAGGATAAAATCGATTTTTTGCCTAAAAATATTTGGCGGTATGTACTTGAGCAATGATTGTTTTAGGCATATTTTAGAGACCAAAATTGTTTTCTTCCGTTTTAAGGTGTTAGGGCAGCGTATGTGGTGTCGTATTTCGAAAACATAAGGGGTAAAAAAAAAAAAAAAAAAAAAAAAAAGCCCGTGAAGAGTGAGTGTGTCCCCTCCCTTTCTTTTGTCAGAAGTGGGGACTGCGGGTCCCACTCAACCTATGATGAACGGCCATGGAAACTCTCCATCAAATAGTTGAAGCTGTGTACGCCAACTACCACTCTATCCCTATTGCCCCTTTTCCCCCAACAAATCAACAAAATTCATTTTTTCTTTTCTTTTTTTTTTTTTTTTTATTAACTTTCTTATAGTTTCCGAGGGACTCCCATGGAAGATGAGCCTTTTCTCGCCTCCCAAACAGCACCCCAACAACTCCCTCCAATCATCGAACACCACGATTTCTCATTCCCACTCCTCCAAGACCCCGAATCCGCGGCCGCCGATGCCCCTGCCCCTAATCGGAGTCTCCACCGATGCAAGACCGCCCCGGCCCTCTCCGTCGTCCGAGACCTCAACCCCAAGCCATCGTCGTCGTCCCAACCGGACTCGGCGTCCCTTGTGAAACAAGCCTTCGTCCTTCTCCTCATCTACCTCTCCTTGGGTGTCCTCATCTATACCTTCAACACCGACCACTTCTCCGGCGTCGAGACCCACCCCCTCGTCGACGCCCTCTACTTCTGCATCGTCACCATGTGCACCATCGGCTACGGAGACATCGCTCCCCGAACGCCGTCGACGAAGCTCTTCGCCTGCCTCTTCGTCCTCGTCGGCTTCGGCTTCATCGACATTCTCCTCAGCGGAGTCGTCAATTACGTCCTCGACTTGCAGGAGAACATGATCTTGAACGGAATGCATATGGATCAACATCATCATAATCATCATCAAGGATTTTCCGCTTGGGATTTCATCATCGACGTGGCCAAAGGCAGGATGAGGATCAGACTGAAAGTCGGATTGGCGCTGGGAGTGGTGGTGCTGTGCATTGGTGTGGGAGCATTGTTCCTGCGATTCGCCGAGGATTTGGATTGGATTGATTCGGTTTATTTGTCAGTTATGTCGGTTACGACGGTTGGCTACGGGGACAGGGCCTTCAAGACGCTCAATGGGAGGATTTTCGCGGTAGTTTGGCTTCTGCTGTCGACGCTGGCGGTGGCTCGGGCGTTCTTGTATCTGGCGGAGGCGAGAGTCGACAAGAGGCACCGAAGAATTGCCAAATGGGTGCTGCATAGGGATATCACCGTCGAGGATTTGATCGCCGCCGACATTAATAATAACGGTTTCATTAGGTAACCGTCCTATACTAACTCCTTTTTGTACTTGTCTTTGCTAATTTCAGTGCCCATCATGAATCATGATCTTGTTTTTTCCGATTTTAAGTATCATTAATTCTTCTGGATTATTTTCCGTTTAGGAATTCAATGCGTTTTTATGTCAATTATTGCTCGATGCTTGAATAGATTTGTTCTGGCGTCGCCTATGGATTATGCTCGGTGTGCAACATTAGTAGCATCCAAATTTGGAACCATAATGATCGGAGGCTTTACTTGATGAAAAATATGCTTCTATTTTAATCCAGTTTATAAATTATGCTAATTCGCTTATTTGATAAGTGGTGCAAAAGTATGCTTTGAATGCAACATTTGTAGCGGAGAAATCAAACTGGAGGAAAGGGTGTTAAGTAAATTAGGATAGGCTCTGGCTTTATCTTTCCATTCAGTGCCCTTTCCATAATTCTACTAGCTCCTCTTTGCCAATTTTGAGAATCAATCGTATTCTGGGTCATTTTCCTTAGGAATTCAATGCTTTGAATAGATTCAATGTAATAGAACTATGCTTGGTGTGCGACATTACTAATCATCCAAATGGCTTGCATAAATTTGGCTGAGATAACTACTGGCTGATTATTTCATAATGAGGCATGGATTTGATAAATCTTCCAGTTAGAAATCTTGGTGGATTCGAAATTGTTGTAAATCAGGCTGATTCTATTAATCATTATGTTTACCTCGTCTTGACATGGCATTTGAAGATATAATTATATGTTTCAAAACTTAATCAATCATATAAACCCCTCACTATTCTTTCTTGCACATGCTTGTTTCAGTAAGTCGGAGTACGTAATTTACAAGCTTAAAGAGATGGGAAGGATAGGCGAGAAAGATATATTGGAGATCTGCAACCAGTTCTGTAGGCTTGACCCCAACAACTCCGGGAAGATAACATTGCCTGATCTGTTGCAGAATCGCTTGCAATGTCAAAAAGTTGGAAATTCTATTCTTTGAGCAAAAGAAAACGGATTGCTCTTTCTTCTCTGTCTGAAGCCTTTTTGGTAAAGAGGAGACTTTGATTTTCTTCCTGGCAAGAACTGTGCATACATACTCCTGCATTCCCTGTGAAGGACTGCAGTTACAGCAAGTGTAAAAATCTGTTTATTTTCTTCCGTTAAATACTATAGGAATATCAAAGGAGAGAGTAAATTTTGGGAAGGAGGGTGGGGTCTTTGAACGTGAGAGACGTGATCTTATATCAACTCAAGGGCTTCAAAGTGTATTATATATGTATAGTTTTTTTTTTTTTTTTACTTTGTATTTATTATTTGTAGTGTATATCAAAAGCAATTGCTCTACATTTCATTAAGATTCTAGATGACTATGATGCGACAAAAAAAAAAAAAAAAAAAAAGTGGTGAAATTATGTGGAGAGACAAATGATAGATGCATAGGGAGTTGATTTTTCCATCCGATTGTTGTTGTTTCTTTTCCACAAGTGCTTCTCTCATTAATCCAAGTGTCGGAAGATTTTAATTTGAAAATTGGAGGTAATAGTTTTCGTCTCTTTACTACAGCACGCCTAATAACACTATGGGCTTGTAAGTTTAAAATGGGGAAAAAAAGCCCATTAAGTCCAGTTCCATTTGCTAGAGATGGTTGAAGAAACCCAAGTGATATCTTTTCGTTTTCTTTGTTATCTGTTTAATGGTGAAGGATGCAGGAGTTGCATTGCAGGTCACCATTGGTGGTTGAGTCAGCCTCATCTTATAATGCATTATCCCTCGGCTTGCTATATTTGGGATCCACCACCTAACATTACCTGTTCCTTTCCTTATAAATGACTCTTTCACAATATAATATTACCCTTTTGAATCCTGATCTTCATTAATTTACGAACAAGAGCATATGTGTCTGTCTGTTTTCCCATATTGAGGCAACTTCTTCTACATTGTTCGTTCTATGTGGGGACTGTGTGCATTGGCATTCATCACCACTGGCCATACTTGCATCAGTTTAAAAAAAAAAAAAAAAAAGTACAGTTGTATTTCACACGTACAACAACATTTGTACTGATTGTATTATTGATGACAATAAATGGTGTTTTCCTTAAATAACTAGATGTAATAGAAATTGTTACTATAACCTAGTACCTGTTAGGATCTTTGTTAGGGTCTGGTAATTTTGAACACTAATAATGAGAGAATTAAGCAGAAATGTAATCGATCACTGAGATTTGAATTGAAACAGATGAAAATTAACATATAGGTGGGTGTTTGAGAGACCCACGGCCCTCCAAGAGTCGAAGCTCGTCTAGACACAATTCCTAGAAAAAATGATCGATGATTACAATTTCCTCACCCGCCGTGTTTTATTCCCTTAGCTCGTTAACTAACTAACAATATTATCTCTTTGCTCGTGTCACACCATCCTCCCAACTTCTAGGCAATTTTCTCACTCGTGAACAATGTTATAAGACACTGGTGGTGCTTAATAAGTATCAACTACTAATAGAAGATGAATCATGTTACAAGTCAACAAATTGCATCTACCTTTTATTAATAGTGATGCTTAGCACCCTATTTTTCCTCCCTTAATACCTCTTCTCGAATCACTTTGCCAACTCAGCGTCCAGCTGCTCAGTAGTTGATCAATCAATACCCTGCTATGCTATGCTATGCTGCAACACCTGCACCAGCCTTTTTCTTCCCTTTATACACCTTCCTTGCATAAGTGAAACGCAAAGGAGAGCTATCATACCTACCCTTTCCATATTGTAATCCATCAAGAAATGCTAGATATAGACTTCACGAGGGCAACCAAACAAACTCATACATTGTGGTTGTAATTACGTTGAAGATTTGTGGAGTCAGCGGTCACCGGCCGATAATATAATAATCCTCGGCAACGTCAAGAGTGGAGACAACTAATTATTAAATTATGCATAAACAATTTATCATTTTACGGAACAACTTGTGTAGGTAGATAAGAAGTGATACTTCTCATGGAATCTGATGTAGCACGTTGTCGAAAAAAAAAATTAAAAAAAAAATCGTCTTTTATTACAGTTTTGAAGCCCAGATCCTAGTAGCAACATCAGAATGGTCTAAAGACAAAAGAAGGCTGGAATTTGATGCTTTATTGTGATTTGTGACCTACCTTTATGGATCGCAGGATTGGCATTACTTTTAGGAGCAATTTTATGGATCGGTAAAAAAGATGGATAATGTTCTTCTAGATTACTAGAGCTATTGTTTTGTGTCGTATTAAAGAATTCTCTTACTTTTATTACTTGTCATACTCACAGTAACAATATTACTTTTTATGGAAATTACATTCGGGCTCTTGACCCCACTTCTATGTGCTGGCGTAAATACCAAACTAATTCATGATTTTTTTTTTTATTCCAGTGTAAACAAACTAATTCATGAATCGTTTGTAGCTTTTAGTACAAGAGAAGTCAAACAGCCCAACAAAAATGTGCTCGATCACGAAAAGAAAAGAAAAAGCGAAGATAAAACATGCAAGATTTTTTGTGTGTTTGTTTGGGATAAAGTGCTTGGATTCGACCACGAAGAGCTGTAATCAGTTAAATTGTATTATATGAGGAATACGCGGTTCCATGGACAAAGAAAAAAAGAGCGTGACCCACACTCCACATACCTTAATTTGGGGTGCAAGTGCAACTGATATCAACAACTGTTTGTGTTCCATTAAATTACAAAACAAAGCAGATATCAATAAATACTTGTGTCAGTCTCACTCTTTTCCCATAATACAACAATTATTCTGATTAAAGATAAAACAACAGTATATAATTTTTTTTTCTTTTTCTAAAAAAAGAAAAAAGAAAAAAGAAAAAAAGAAAAAACATCATGGGAAAGGCCAACACCAGCTGCACCTGCAAGCAAAAGGGAAGGCCCATCTATATATCTACATATATCTAATATCCATGTAGGCAGAATCCGTCTTTGCTTTTCTCGGGTTCTTGATAGTTTTGATCCTGAGAAGACGGGCATGGGCATGGGCATGGGGAACCAAAAAAATGTGTTGGGATTGTTGCTAATTAATGTGGTTATGATTAGCGTTTCTGGTGCAACCGAGAGCAAGTATATATCGGCAGTGGGAGACCCCGGAATGAGAAGAGATGAACTGAGAGTGGGATTTGAAGCTTGGAACTTCTGCAATGAAGTTGCCCAAGAAGCTCCTCACCAGGGTAGCCCCAGAGCTGCCGATTGTTTTCATCTCTCTGGTAACTCAAATTCCATCCACATAATAATAATAATATGTATCAAACAAAACAAAGAGTAAAGTAATACCTTTTTGGCCTTTTCACTTTCTTTCTTTTTCCTTTTACTATTCCCTGTTCCTGTTTACTTCATAAATGCATCCAAACAAATACATTGGCTTGATGCATATCTAATATTCTGATTCCTGTTTTATAGCTAATGAGCTTTGTTTTGACACTATGGGACAGAGTGGAATCAAGAATTTGTTTCATTTTTTTTTTTCTCGTCTTGTGTTTAGCTTTGTAGGTTTCAAGAGCTTTTTATGGTTTCACATTTTTGTTCTGGTGCAATATGTTTCTCTGTTGTTTTTAATAGGCTTTGGTATAGTCCAGCCAGATTTTGTATATTTTTTCTGGCTCCATACACAATAGAGAATCTCTATCATAGATATTGTTCTCATCTTGATAAATAATGTCTTCCAATCCATAACGATTCGACATATTTTCACTCGTAATTTTGTGTCCTTTCTAATCTTCTGATTCTCTGTTGTAATGGAGTAGGTTCTTCCCTGAAGCACATAGTGACAGAAGAAGACAACAAGCTTGGAGTTGGGAAGCCATTCCCAGGTCTGAATCCAGGGAGTTTAAAAAATGCAGACCTTTACGCGGTTGAGAAAGAGCTCTACCTGGGTTCCCTATGTCAAGTTGAAGACACCCCAAGGCCATGGCAGTTCTGGATGATCATGCTCAAAAACGGCAACTTCGACACGCGGTCGGGCTTCTGCCCTTCTGATGGTAAAAAGGTTCCACCTTTTAGTTCCACAAGGTTTCCTTGCTTTGGGAAAGGGTGTATGAATCAACCAATTCTCAACCATCAAGAGACAGAATTATTTGGTGAAGATGTCATGAGAGGAGGTTTCAATGGCACTTATGATTTGGGTTCTGATCCTAGGGGTGAACTTGATGGGATTTCTTACTATGAGGTTGTTTGGGAAAAGAAAGTTGGGGTTGGAAGTTGGTTGTTTAGACATAAACTCAAGACCTCAAAGAAGTACCCTTGGCTGATGCTGTACCTCAGAGCTGATGCAACAAAAGGATATTCTGGTGGATATCATTATGACACCAGAGGAATGCTCAAAACTGTAAGTGGGATTTTTTTTTTCTTTTTATTTTTCATGATCTCTGTTACAGTTACTACGTTATGTCCCAAAACAAGAAGTTTGAAGAAAAATTGGAAAAATCAAAGTTTGAATGACGTTCTCTAGACGATTAGAAGTCAGTCACTTACTAATTGTTAGAATAGTGATTTTCTACTTGGTAGCTGGGGCGTGGTGGAGTAAGTGGTCTGTTAATCCGTCATTATCCTCTTTTTCATGAATATTTAATAATTCAACCTCCCTGTAATAATGTATTCAAACCTAATCTTGGTCAAACATAAAGTTTATTTTCTTAAATTGAAAAAAACATGAAGTTGTGCTCAATTTCCTAGCACAGAACAAGAGCCCGACGCAATAATATCATGATAGTCGGACTTGTGTGCCCAAGTTAAAAGTAATGCTAAGCTACCTTTCACTTACTGAGTTGAGGAAATTTGAACTCTTAGATTTCAACATTGGCGACGGGTTTGGAATTATCGCTAAGTTAAGCTTACAACTAAAAGTGATGTCATGTTTTGTGGGATTAATTTTTCATATTAATTTGGCTATGAATATTTATGAAAGAGTGATGGAATAGTAGTTGCGTTTCAGCTCCCTGAATCACCCAATTTCAGGGTGAGATTGACACTGGACATAAAGAAAGGAGGAGGAGCCCAGAGCCAGTTCTACCTGATTGACATCGGGAGCTGCTGGAAGAACAATGGGGAAGCCTGCGATGGGGACGTGCTCACCGACGTTACTCGCTACAGCGAGATGATCATCAACCCGGATACCCCTGCTTGGTGCAACCCCAAGGGGCTAATAAACTGCCCACCTTACCATATAACTCCAGACGACAAAAAGATTTATAGAAACGACACAGACAACTTCCCATACTCGGCTTACCACTACTATTGCGCGCCAGGGAATGCCAAACATTTGGAGCAACCAGTTAGCACTTGTGATCCTTACAGCAATCCTCAGGCGCAGGAGATTGTTCAGTTGCTGCCTCACCCCATTTGGGCCGATTATGGTTACCCTACCAAGAAAAGCCACGGCTGGGTTGGCGATGCTAGAACATGGGACCTCGACGTTGGCGCCTTATCCACTAGACTCTACTTTTATCAGGTTGGGTTTTTGTTTTTTTATTTTTTTATTTACTTTTGAGCACTGCTATTCATCACTATTCGGTCATGTTTCATCACACATTAGAATAAAACCATCACATGACAAAAGTTCAAAATCACTTATACTGTTATGTGGCGGTTTTGATGCACTGATATATTTTGTACGATATTGGATTTTGTTCCATCTATTTTTGTTTTTGCAGGATCCAGGAACTAAACCTGCAAGAAGGATATGGACATCGATTGATGTGGGTACAGAAATATTTGTTAGTGACAAAGACGAAGTGGCTGAATGGACTCTATCTGACTTTGATGTTCTGCTCACTCCCTCGCCAGATTCATAATTCAAGTGTTTGAGCTCTTTTGCTAATTGTTTGATTTAATAATTAGATAGCAAAACAGATCAAATAATTAGGAAGGTATTGGCATTAAGAAGCCCAAAAATCAAAATAGCCCGTAAGGGCCGGGCTTCTCATTTCTTAGAGGCAAAAGGGTACTTTCATGTTTTAGTTTCCATTCTATAAAAGCTTAGCAACAGAAGCTCCTCAAAGTACTCTATATATATAATGGTCGATTTAAATCAAAAGCGCCTTGTTATTCTCTCAAGCACAGAATTATGATATTCATAATGTATCGTCACAAATCCACCACTACAATAAAAGTGTCATATAGCAAAAAGAATATTATATCTATGCATACGTAGTAAGTAGTAACTCTTATCAATAATTACAGATAGTATTTATCTGTTCACTTTATAAATTTGAGCTGTATATACGAAATTGATTATAAAGTTTAAGAACCGAATCTTTTCTGTCTGGATTGTGCCATTTGAAGCTAAACCACAAAATACCTGCCGGAGGTGCACGACAAAAGATAGCCAAGAAACAGAGTATATTTTTTCTGCAAGGTCCTACCATGTGGAGTGGCCACCAAACTCCTCCATTTTTTTTTTCTATTTTTCTATTTTTTTTAGAGTGTCAAAGAAGAAACAAGTGCTACTCGGTGTTTAAAAAATCTGTCAAACTGCAAAAATTGTTCAATTTAAATTAAACCAAATCAAATCGTTAATTATTTTTAGATTATTAGACTATTTGGTCGGTTTTTTAATTTAATTTTTTTGAGTGGTTTGGTTCGTAGTTTTGACTCCTCAAACCACCCAAACTGCCCAATAATCCGTCTAAAATTATACATAAGTAATTTCTAAATTTTTAAAATATTTTTTATGTTCATTTTAATTTTTATTGGTCATAATAAATGTTCTACACTTATAAAATAAATTTAAATTTTATTTTTATTTTTATAGATTAACAATGTTACAGTTTTTATGATTATTAAAATATATTTTAATTTTAAGCTCAAACAGTCTAAATTATTTACGGGTGATTTAGTTTAATTTAATTTTTATTAAAAATATCAAACCGTTTAAAATAAAAAATTATTTTTAATTTAGTTAGTTAGTTCAAAAAAACCGTCAAGTGACAGTAAACACCCTACGAGTCACAAAAAGCAGAGCCAATGAAGGTGGTATTTGTACGAATATCTGAAGATTCCATCTCTGCCAAACCTAAAAACTAAACGTGTTTTTGATACCATCCACGTTACAAGCCTACAAGATGTCGGCAAAAAAAAAAAAAAAAAAAAAAAGAAGAAGAAGAAGTAATTATGTAAAGAAAAAAAAAAGGATAGTTAGTTAAATGGAAAAATATAACTGGAGACAAAAATTAGAAGTCCCAACTCTCTAGATTGCCATTTTGATTGCTTTCGTTTTTCCATCCCTTAACGTTTGTGTTATTTAGATCTGTTTCTTGTCGTTCTTTTCATCTTGTTGCCGTACTCCGTCCGTTGTGCTCTTTCCATGCGTACCTATTGCTTTCGTAAATTTCACTTACCTTGCCGTTTTTTTCATGTCGTTTTTTCCGCACGTGGAGTAAGTCTTGGAAACCTTGAATACAAACGACATGTCACTTGAATTGAAAAAATTAAATCCAGGCAATTTCTTTCCTGAAAATAAAATTACGCATCTTTTATTAAATTTATTTATTTCCCTAAAACGACACAACTTGTTGATTCACCTGGGAAGACAAGACGACATATCTTTCCCAGCTCACGTCGTTTTTGCTAAAAAAAGAAAATAAATGTCGTTTCTTCTAACATTTGTTCTTGCTGTTTGACCTGTTGTAGACAACGACGTTTAGTTGGCTGCCAAAAAACGACATGTTAGCTTATTTAAATGTCATTTTCGTTTTCATTATGTTGTCGTTTAAATAAACTCATGTGGTCGATACAAATAATATTCCAATAATTTGCAGAATTTACAAGATAACAAACAATAATTTTTTTTTTCAACAAACGATTGTTATGGAAATAACCTTTGGAATAAAAACTATAAACAAGAAATAACAATTGTAACAGCAGTTTGTTTTTGTTTTTTTTTTCCCAATAATTGACACCCTGTTTGTATCGTTTTCAAGATCGTGATGTAGATGGGATATGGTTGGTAGATGAAAGGTTGTAAATGTTGTAGTTGTCTCCAGCAAATAAATTAATAATTATTATTATAAGAGGCCTATAATCTTCGGTTTGAAGACTTGGATCTGGTTAGTGATTTGGTAAAATATGGTTGGCTTACCACGACACATCTCTAACTGTCATGGATGAATTGAATATGTGATGGCATATATTGGATTGGACCCCTTGTAATGTAATAATACTCAAATTGGCTTTTTGTTACCAGCACCAGCTGGTTTTCACTAAACGCAAATCATAAAAAAATAAAAATCATTAAAAAAAAAAAAAAAAACACTTATCGCCCACTTTTCTCCATTAGAAAAGGGGTACGTATATTTCACTCATAGTCATAAATAACAAGCCAATGCAGATTTCGGCTTCATCATGTTTTTTGACAATAAAAAAGAAAGATAAAATCTCATCTACGATCTGTAAAGAAAAAAGAATAATAAATAACGAAAAATATCTTTCAGAGAAAGAAAAGGTTGCTTTGCTTCAATCATGCTTTATTGTAAGAAATAGTACTGGGAAGAATAGAAGGTGTGAATGTGTAGTACATGTTGGTTTCCACATTGCAGATAGCAGTAGTACGCAAAGGTGGGGTGGGTAGTACGCGTACACAGTGAGCTTAGTCATATTGAATGTGGATAGTACAGGAGGAGTGTGTACTACTAGTGTGTTTCTTTGGGCCTCTTGGAGTGTGTACTAGTAGTGTGTTTCTTTGGGCCTCTTGGAGTGTGCGTTGAGATATGATATTGTTATTACTATATAAGACCACGACAAAATATCATCAATGCACAACATTTGCTACAAGTGCTGGGGCATCACCAAAAAGTCTTCCGGATTTAGCAATTGCCAGGAAATTGGATTGGAGATGCCAAAAAGTGCAAATGAAATGGTGTTAAATAATGGCAAGTCAGTAAACTGCCAGGGTGAGATCTATTTTTTTTTCTTACTTTGTCGTATGACAAACACACATGTGGTTGGTGATAAATAGCGGAGCTCGAAAGGTAAAAGTAGAAGTTTAAAACGTTACATGAGGCGGGGGAGCGGAGAAAAGAGGGGGTCAAAAAGCAGAATAAGGCAGGGAACGGGCAGAGCATGGATGGAGCCTTCAACACAAGGAATGCTGTTGTGGCTCTACTCATGCACTGCCTCTTCCCTGGCTGTGCCTCTCTTCTTTTTCTCCCTCACCATCAACATTCTCCTTGATAATTTTGTTTGCTTTATTCTTCCTCCTTTCTTTCTTGAGGTTTTGTTTGTTTGTTTGTTTTTTTTAAATTAAAAAAAAAAAGAGAATTCTATAATAGGGTATAGAAAATGCTCTATCGTTATTGTGCTATATAAGTCAATGTGAAAAAGTATGCAGATAATATAATAATTACGATCTCGGAGGACCAAAGAATTTTTCAAAAACTACAGTCACGTTCAATTTACGGATTTGAGTTTTTAATTTCAATTTACAAATTCTAGTTTTTAATTCGAGCTGAGATGTGATTTTATGTGAGAGTCACGCTACTTGCGAGATTTTCCAGGGAAAAGAAATGTACGAGAGCCACGCTACTTACAAAATATATGTTTGCACTGTTCAATGAACATTATCTTTGTAATTTTTTTTTTTTTTAAATTATCATCTTTGTACATTGTAGCGCTGTTCATGCTGTTCCATGTGATACGGTTTATGCTTAAAGGATGCGAAATTATTCAGGGAAAAGAAATGTATAAGAGCCACACTACCTATTGAATTGTATTCTAATGCAAAAATTGGTGCTACAAGAAACACTTTTCACTGAAACTTTCTGTATTGCGAGAAGAAATTGACCACATTTACAATATACACTTCACGTGACCCATTAGAATTGCTTCATATATATCATGTTCCGTGGTCTTTTTGGAAATTGCATTCAGAATAAGATAATCAATTTGCTTCTGTGGATACTTGATGCCCAGCAGATTAGCCCAGGTTCAACTGAACAAGCAAACTGTAACATTTAACATTTCACTAAAATCAGATGTCAAAATTAAATTGAACTGCCTTAATAACTAGGATTTAATTCCAACCCAACTTCTTAAGCAAATTGAAGGCACTGAGAAGAAACTGGAAATGAGTAACTTTGACCAACAACAATTGGGTTTCAAATTTGGCCAATCAATCTAAAAACGCCAAACGTGAGTTACTTATTGGGAGTTCCTGTGCTACTCTTAAGACTATTCATCGAATCTCACAAACAATCCAATCAATATATGTTACATTCTTCCTTACATTACCCATATATACGTTTGAATATACATACATACTACACATATTATATAATATATCATACGCTCTGCATTTAAGTCACAATATTGAGGAAACATATAAGTAAATCAAAAGTTGCTTTCTACTGAACTATATCCGTGTGTAAATGGAAAACCAACAAAAGTTTCGCAGTCAATATGAAGATGTTTATGGAGCGCTAATTAGCTTTCTCATAAAGCCCAGAAGGGTGTAGTCTGTAGAGAACCTACGTTGACTTACGCTACTTTTTTTTTTTTTTTTTCCAACTTTTTCAAGAAAAACAACCAGAGGAAAATGAAGAAGGCTAATTATTCCAATAAAGAAATTGCAAAATCAATCAGAAGTATATAACATAATAGAGTTACGTACTTGTTACATTGTAGAAAGTTGTTGTGGGGATGATCTTCTACTGCTACTGGTAGTAATTTGTGATCAAAATGACCAGAGTCAATGAGATGCAAATCCTCCAAAAGAATGACATAATGTTTGTGAACATCCTCGGCAGTCTTTTGTCCCGATCCGATCATGGCCGCAACCACTTCCCAGCGATGTGGGTGTTTCTCATCAACTGCTGCCAGTGCCACCTCAAACTCCTTGTTCTCTTCCCAACTCCATTCCCTCCTAAACAACACCTTTGCCAAACATGTTTCCATTATATTTACCAACTAGTTTTCTACTGTCTCCCCGGCCAAAGATGATTCTTTTTTTCTAAGATTCTCTCTTCACCAGATTCTGTTGGATCACTTGAGTTTGGCTACCCTTTTAAAACCCACCTTACAACTATAAAATACTAACCACATGTTTTGAATTAATGAACATCAAGATTCAAACAATCAACTTCCTTTGGTTAAACCTACTATCGAATACAGACAAAACTCAACGCTTCCTTACCATTTTCTTCCAAGACCAGGGATCTTTTTTGTTTCTTTTTTTTTTTTTTTTTTTTAAATTGTGGCATTGGATTCCAGATGGTGTTAGTTTGAAGACTACGGCATATGACCTTTTTTAAAAAAAAGAGATATGATAAAGACTTTTTTTTTTTTTTTTTTTTTTCCTTATTAAAAACATAACCAAGAGAATGATATGATATGATAAGACTTAAATACTCAAAAGATGGGGTTTTATTTTTGATTAAGGCCAAAACCAGTAATGGAAAGAGACCACGGGTTTTCATTGATAACCATTCTAGAAGCAATATCAAAATCACTTACGTCTCATGCTTGCAATGAAAGAAAGAGACTTGTGCGGTTTTAGATGGGATTAGATTACACTGACTGCCCCATTTTTTGCAAACGCCCACGGAATCACGACTTGAAGACTTTTAATCAGTAGGTGAAAAACAAGTCAACTGACCCAAACGAAGGGTAAACTAGAAGTAAAAACCAAGGAAATATGAATGAGAAGACTCAAAATTAAATAATTAACAACTAATTAACTTCCCTTTAAAAAAAATTAAATAATTGACAACTAATTAACTTCCCCTTAAAAAAATTAAATAATTAACAACTAATTTTATGATCCTGAAAGTGGCAAGGCAAATCGTATTTATCTTGAGGTGGTGGGTGCAAGACTAAGGGGTACCCTACTGAGGTGTTTCTTACAGGAGGAGGAGGGTTCTTCTTAGGAAGTAGAGACTTGTAGACTTTTTATTATATATGCTTAATCTGTCTCCTTCAGTCCAGACAGGACTGGACCCCAAGAGGATTTGAACTAAATCTTTCCGCTTCAAAATTATTAGTATTAAGTCTCATCACACCTTGAGAGCAGCATGATCATGCAGTTCTCAATTTTTCTTTCATTTTAACCATCAAATTCACAGACATGCCCTCTTACTACTATAATTGTATTCCTAATCCTTGAGTATAAAAGTGAAGATTAATTCCCTCGTCCAATTCTTCGCGGTAAAAAGATTTGACGTTTTGTAGGTGATTTTGAATCTTTTACGAAACGAGTCTTAAAATCCGTCCAATAATCCCCCCTAATTCCATCATTCTTTCTACTTTTTCAACCTCACAACTGATTTGGAGCTAAAAAGTCCGCAGCTAAGCTGACAAACAAGGAAAGCCGGCTAATCCTGTCCCCCCACCTTAATCTTATTTATTATCCTTGTTTTAAGAGGATCTAGTTAATCATCATTCCGTTGCTCTTCATTTGTTTTTATTGGCAAATAATTCATCATCCACTTGATCATGTGGGGCATAACCGCCTTTATTTTGGATGAGGACAATCATTTGTGGCAAAATGGCGACTGTTCATGCCAACTTGCCAATGCTTTAGACCCTTTCTACTTTCTTCTTACTTGTTCCACAATTGAAGAATGCAATTCCTCGGAAATTCCTCTCAATTAAATTTGCTGATATTGTTGAATGGAACGCAGCCCGTGAAAGCTCCGATGTCCAACCTAAAACTGCAAACTCGAGTCCAGTCATTGTCACCGGCAAGTACCACATTCACAACTTGTTCCTGCTTTCAGCTATAGACATTTCAGGAGTCATTCTAGCCCCCCTTCTCACTCTGTAACACTACGCTTGCCAAGCATGAAACAAAGAAAACCCACTACGCTAAGCAGAAATAACCAAGTAGATCGGCATCCACAAACATACAAATAAGATACAAACAAATCCCGTAGTTGTATAGTATAATATCACTATGACCTCTCTCTCTCAACGCAAAATCCATAGTTTATTGGCATTCTAGTCACTTATAGTTCCTTACGGGGGAAAAAGGAACAATGATCCATAAATAGTACTGAGCAAAACTATTAGGCATATGCCAGCTAAACAATGATAAACATTTAGAGGGGGAGAAAAGACCTCCCTTATCGCCAACCTCGGTAGAATTGCAATCCAGTAGTTTCATTGGGAAGAACTGAAACAAGCAATTGCATCCATTTCCTGCTGCAATAGAAGAGCATCAAGAAAGACATCTAGACTTTCTCCTTGCATTACATCATCTATTGCATGACAAGTAATGCCAACACGGTGATCAGTGATGCGCCCTTGAGGAAAGTTGTATGTGCGAACTCGTTCGGATCTGTCACCACTACCTATCTGTTCAAAGTGATGAGGCCGAAGTCAATTTAACAAATCACAAAACAACGAATAACTATCATTCATCATCTCTGCTGTATGTGTACCTGCTCTGATCGAAGTTTTGATCTTTTGCTATGAATTCTAGATCTCTCCATTTCATATAGCTTCGCACGCAGTACCTTAAGTGCCTTGGCCTTGTTCTGCAAAAGAATTGAGAAATTGCATAATCACAATAGAAGAACAAGGAAATGAGACGGAAGAGAAGTGAGAGACCAAATAAAGTGACATTATGTATCGTGATCAGACTCAACACCATGCAATCGAACAAAAATCAGTTGCAAAGTTCGAAGCAGCATCTACCATGTGTTGGGATCGTTCATCTTGTATGGCCACAACCATCCCAGACGGTATATGAGTTATTCTTACAGCACTGTTGGTTGTATTTGCATGCTGACCTCCTGCACCACCGGATCTATAGGTATCAATTTTTAGGTCTTCATTTCTCAGCTGGACATCTACCTGCACAAGTCCCAAGATGCATAATAAATAGAACAGAGAAAGTAGTAGTACATTATCATATAACCAGTCTCGATGGCATACATAAAGTGCAGAACTATTCAAGCAGTAATGGCCAGAGAAAAGAGCACCTCATCAGCCTGAGGGAGAATGGCGACAGAAACAGCACTTGTATGAATCCGTCCAGCCTTCTCTGTCACAGGAATTCTCTGAGAAAAGAAAAATGGTCAGTTATTTAGGGCGACATTCATAACTCTGCTAGCTAGACTGGTGGGGATCAAACCTGAACTCTGTGAATTCCCTTCTCAAATTTAAGTTTGCCGTAAACATCAGCCCCTGAGATTGCTGCACTAGCTTCCTGATATCAAGAGTTAACAAATCAAAAACTTTTTACCAAGTTAAAAAAGAAGGTTTCATTTGGAATATCTAAAACTTAAACCAACACTACACACTATCTGCAGGTGGTGAAACCTATAAAAGATCAAATAGTAATTGCCCAAGAATCAAGATTGCTCCCAAAAGGTCAATTTGGTCTTTATAATTCGAAAACACACCTTATATCCTCTAAGATCGGATTCTGTTAGATCTACCACTTCAAACTTCCATCCTTTCTTCTGCGAGTACTTCTCATACCTGTTGAAATTTAGCGTTTGAGAGTCTGAAATGAGAATATTATAAATACCTTTACCACTAATAATGCTTTGCTTACCATCTAGCACTAACTTACATTTTGAATATATCCATTGCAAACAAAGAAGCCTCTTCCCCTCCAGTTCCTGCATAAACTTTATCGTCAATTGAATGAAAAGCAAGAGTATACATATAAATGGTGCCTTCATTGAGATGTCCATTTCATCAGGTATCATTTACCTGCTCTCACCTCCAAAATGCAGTCCCTCTCATCAGCATCATCCTTAGGAAGCAGAGACTTCAGCAACAAATTCTGCAGTCTTTTCTCCTCCACCATAGCTTCACCCAATTCCTCTGTTGCCATACTAACCATGTCTTTATCTTCAGAACAGTCAACCCTCAGTGACTTCAAACCATTGATCTCCTGCAAAGAGAAAAAAGAGACACCAGAATACATCCTTCAGCATTAACCAATGAAGAGAAGCAATGGAAGCATGCAATTAATGAATTATCTAACAGATGCAAGGTATAAATTTTTAATAGTTTATACTGACTAATCACAATCCAAGAGTACCTTGAGCTGAAACTCCGTAAGGAGAAACAAGAAATGTGTTATTTACGTGCTTCGCCTAATAATAACAGAACAAAGTGTGGAAAAAAGATTCAATCAACAGCCTAATACCGGCAGTCTCATTTAGGAACTTGTTGGCTACAATTTAAAAAGGAATGCAGTTGGATATAACATTATAGCTGTTAAACCCGTCTTTAGACTTTTTACATCAAAATAAAAAATTGATGGATTGAGATTGGTATGAATTTACAACTCTTTTTTTTTTTCACAATGCTAGTTGTTCCCAGTATTTGAGCCTGGTGTCTCCCCTTTAACCCACTCCACTTTTGGTATGAATATACCACAAATTCAACCTTTTTTCTGTCAATATAGGTTCTATCAGGATCCTTATAGCGTCTTTTTCCACAATTCTGGCCATTCATCTTTACAAAATTTGAACATATTTTATTCATTCGTTAAAAAGTATTTCTAATAAACTAAAAATTTTGAGGATAAAATAAGAAATGTCACATGTGGTTGATCATATAATCGCAGTTATATTGATTTTTTTCACAACTCTCAATATCTGAAGCAGCTACATATGCATTCACATGAGCCAAAGAAAAACTATATATTACACACACACACACACATATGCATCCAAAATAAACGTCGAGGAATTAATTACCTTCTGCTTAGACCTTAACTCAGAAATGAGGTCCGCAGAAGACTTGAGTTTCCGAAGCTCCTTGTTAGCTCTTGCGTACTCTGCGGGTGAGGCTTCCGGCTGTCTTCAATCAACACAGAAAAACAAACTCAATCACCATTCAACGTTAACAACTAAAAGACACAAGTTAAAACACAACATCACAATACCAAAAAAAAACAAAAAAAACAGGAAGGAATATTGTAGAAAAGGGACAAGAAAGATACCCAAAATTTCTTCCACAAATCATCAATGAGACCACAAGAAGCTCAGAGAGTAGAAATACTAGAAACTAATAATTTTTATTTCTCATTTAATAATTGGAGTCAATTCTTGCTGTTTTAGAAATTTAGAGACAACTTGGCTGTGAAAGTGCCAAACCATAAGAAATTAGAAGGCGTAAGTGCTAAAAACACAAACGAAAAAATCGATATATACAGACCTGGTTTACAAGATTTTGCAGAAAAGCAGTCCTGTACTCGATAGCAGTAAGTCTCTGTTCCATTATCCTAATGATTTCTGGTGACAACTGAGGTTGCAATTCTCCTAATAATCGCAAATGATCTCATAAGCAAACCATAATTCTCAGAATCATCTCATAAGCAAACCATAATTCTCAGAATCATTAAAGGCAAAAAAAAAAAGGGTACGGGCTTTCGAAACAAAATCGATCCTTTTCAACTTCACCTCCAAAAAGAGAGGAGAAGAATAAGAAGAAGCTGGGTTTCAGAAGCATTGCAATGTAGAAGAAGAAGAAGAAGGAGAAGAAGAAGAAGAAGAAGAAGAAGAAGAAGAAGAAGGAAACGCACCGATTGAGGAATAAGAACGAATAATCAGGAGAGAGAAGAAGAAGGAAACGCACCGATTGAGGAATAAGAACGAATAATCAGGAGAGAGAAGAAGAAGGAAACGCACCGATTGAGGAATAAGAACGAATAATCAGGAGAGAGGAGGTGGGTGTGGCGGCTGCGGATGGTGGGGCGACGGAGATTCCCTGAGTGAGAACATTGGTAATGGTAGGGACGCATTGAAGTCGTTTAAGATTACACCATAGATGCCTCCTCATCGTCCTCTTCGAACAAATGCAGAAGAAGAAGAAGAAGAAGAAGAAGAAACCAACCTACGCTAACGCTATACAACCCAAACGACAGTAACAATAGCCCCCAATTCTGTATCTTACAAAGAAATGCACAAAAATGATGTCGTATCGTAATTGTGAGAGATCGAGAGAGAGAGCGAGTGGGGCAGGAGGGAAAAATACCGGCGGATCTCCTAAAAACGCCCGTTGGGCCAAAATACGACAGATCACAGCCTACGCGTTTTCGGAGATTTGCCTGGCCCAAATCACAATCCCTTTATCATCATCATCTTCTTCTTTTTTTTTTTTCCATTTTTTGGAGTGCTTCATCATCTTCTTTTGCATATAAATTAAAAGGAAAAATTACGCCTATATTATATTTATCTATTTAATATGTTATGTTCTTCTGAAAATCAGCATTATATATATATAAGTTCTATCATAGGATCTTAATTTAAATAGAGTGAGAGGGGGAGTAAATGAACAAGAAAATGGCAATTTGATAAAATAAGTGGGATGGACTGAATTTTTAACACAAGCATTATACAAACATAAATAAATGTATAATATATATAGACAGAGAGAGAGAGTTGGAATTAATACAGATGGTTTGAGTTTGAGCAAGGACTTTATAAGTATCAAAATTCAACATCAAAATAAAAATTACAAACAAATTAAACCACCACCACACCATATATCCTCATCAAGATACGTTCTCATCACCAACGTTATGTTAATCATTACATATAAAAAGAAAAGATACAACAAAAGAGTAATAAGAAGAAACCCTCTGTCTTAATTACTTCTTTCGACTCACCCAACAATCCATCGATCAATCAGTACTCCTTCAAATGAATGAATATTCTCATCATGATCATGATCATAACAAGATCATCTTCTGATCATCACGATCGCGATCACGATCACCACTTGAAACTCGGGAGGAAGGGAGCTCCGGTGGCGGGCAACCACCTCTGTCCCTCAAGGAACTGGCCCACCGTGAACTGTTGGGCCTCATGTCGGCCAATGACGTGGTAGCCTCTCCAGTGGACCCTCCGGTTGGTCCTGGCGCCGGGCCCACGGTTGGCGTACTCGGCGTAATAGAGAGTGTCTAGGGCAAAGTTACCGGCCCAAGGGAACCAACCGGCGGGCTGGATAAAGTCGGCCAAAGTGGACTCCATGATGACAGTCCTGGAGAACTCCTTCCATGGGCGGCCCAAGTAGGTTGGGATCTTGAACCTGTCAGCGAAGAGCTTCTGCTCTGGGACGATCCTGCAGTTGTGGATGACGATACCCGTGGGCTGGTGTCTCTCCTTCCTGCCCTGGGCGGTCACGGCGTTGAGCTGGTTGTCCATTGGCCTCCTCACGATCAGTAGAGAATTCTGGATCACCACTGTGGCGTCACCGAATATGAAGTCGATTGTACCCGAGATGACACAGTTGCGGTAGAATTGCCGACCCGCCTGCACGTACAATGTGTCCTGGTAGCCGTCCATTCTGCAGTTGAAGAAAGCCGACATCTCCGATTGCACTCGCAACGCCACCGCTTGGTGTCCCTCTGGTCCCGCCGTGTTCTGGAATCCCATTCCCTTGCACACGAATCCCGCTCCGATAACAGCTGCAATGATGTACGCATGTATATATATCCAAGTTGTTAGTTAATTAATTACCAATTCATCTCAAGAATTTACGTGGATTATGTATTATATCTAAAGTAGTACTACTTACAGAAGGAAGCGGTTCTAAAGGTGGAGAAGCCACCGGTGTAGCTCTTTCTACCGGTAACGATGGTCTTTCTGGGACCGTCTCCGTACATGAAGATGTTGACCATGTTCTTCTCGACGGTGATGTACTCATTGTAAACTCCGGCCTTGACATAGATGATGTATCTCCCAACGTGGTTCTTAGGGTAGGCGGCGAGGGCGGCGGCGATGGTCTTGAACTGGCCGCTTCCATCCTTGGCAACGACGGCATGGGGTTTAATTCTCCCATTGCCATGCAAAGCCATGAGCTTCCTGTCCGAAGCGGAGAACCACGTCGGAAGCCCATCGTTTCCGATCACCGTGTCGCTCAGAAGACGGCGTCCGTTGAGTGCCTTAGGGTTCAGTTTCAACCCGAAAGCCGAAAGGATCTCAGAGATGGTGGAAACAATGGCCAAGGCGTTGTCGGTGAGGGCGGTGGCGTTTTGGAGAGTGCCCTTCAATTGGCCTTGGAACTTGGGCTCCTCAACTCCGTCAATGCAGGTCTCGGCGTAGGAAATGACGGAGCTGAGCCAGCTCCTGAGCTCGGCGGAGCGGTCTTTGATGGTGTGCATGTCACTGTCACCGACCATGGAGAAGGAGGCCTGGAGCTGACCAATGGCAAGGCTCAACAAGTCGTTGCAATCCTCAAGGGCCATCTTCAGCCGAGTGGAATTGTTGTTGTTGGCCTCAACCAACAATGACTCCGACAAGTTGAGGGACTTGCTGACCTGATCAACAGTGGCTTGCACGGCGGCCTTGATAATGTCCTTGTAATCGGCGGTGACGTTGTGGGAGAGAGGGCTTAGGGTTTGCTCGCAGGCCGTCTTGTAGTCTGTGTTCGAACACACCGATTCGACCATGCTCTTCGATGTCGACGGCGCGGCGACTGATCCTTCATGCTTTCCATTACCATGGTTGTTGACCACCACAACCACCGCCAAAGCCACTCCCACCAACAGAAGTACCGATACCACCGATACTACTACTTTCCCAACTATATTCATTTTTTTTATCTGTTTTTCTTTTTATATTTTTTTTCTCTCTCTCCCTCCGACCGCTTTTCCCGACGAGGCACGACGTGGGTCGGAGAGAAAAAGTTATGAAGAAATCTTAGATGATGGAGGGAGGGAGAGATGGACAGAGAGTTTTAGGACCTCTCTTTTCTAATTATAATTTAATTTAATGATCTGAAGCTTTGCATGCATGGCGTTTTTTTTATATAGAGCTAGGATTTTCTTAAATTAGGGTGTATATTTTGCATTGCTGGTTTAAGGGTAGGCAACTGCCTAAGCTCCTTAAATAAAGGCCTCCTCATTATTATTAGAAAATCTTTAACTAATTACTTTTACACCTTAGGGTCCCCTTATTAATCGGAAACCTTTTAACTAATTCCCTTCCTTCACACCTTAAAACTAATTACGTACCTTTACGACTCAGTATCTTGAAGCAGTTTATCGTATTGATTTGTTTTTAGTTTTTAAGAAATAAAGACATATAACCTATCCTACATATCCTTTTTTTTAAGGTAAAATACAACGTCTATACTCTAGAAATTGAATAACAATTAACAAAGCTCGCGTATGCAGTGAATGAAAACAAATATGATCATAATCCTCACCCCACTCAAAAAAAATAACAGTCCTTGAACCCCAGAACAAGAGTATTAAGATGTCATAGCATGAAATAGTAGGGTCCTGCTTTGGTGCACTTCACCTTTGATCTCTCGTAGTCCTTCTTGCTCACTTGAACAACCGAGTCTCCGACATTAATTCCCCACAAGATTAATGTTCGCCGTACGTTGGAATCAGTCTTGCCAAGAGAAGAAAGACGGTAATAGAAGAAGAAGAATAAGAAGAGATGGAGAGAGAGTTTGTAAAGCAAAACAAACTCTTGCTTTAAAAGGAACTTTTGGCTTTAAAGCAAAACATGTAAGTAAGAAGGAGATCAATGAAATAAATCTTTCAAATACAATGGAGCACTTTGTAGTTTTGAAAAATAAAATGACAAATTGTAATAAAATAATTATTTTTTAGGGAAAATTTGTAAATAAAAAAAAATAAATTATGAGCTATATTTGTATAATTACTTCTGAAAAATACATAACATCCAAAAAAAACCAAAAAGAAAACATAAACTTTTGTGTCTTTGTAAGAAAATATTTTTGAATTAAAAGGACAAGATTGTCGTTTTATCTATCAAAACGAGTTCGCAATACCTAGATAATAAAAGTTACCATTTTTTTTTTTTTAAATATAGAGAGTAGCGAAATAGCATTATATATATAATGCATTCCAAAGATTGGCAACATTATCACCGATGACGGGAGCCAAGATCTTTCTTCAAGAAGGCGGAGTGACATAAAATGCTAAGCTTAAATTATAATGCACTATGTTTTTTTTTTTTTTTTTTAAAAAAAATTCTCTTTTTACCTGTATTTTTGTCTTTTTATCTTGTAAAAATTTTACGGTCCGTTTGGTTCATGAATTAGAACCATGTGATTAGAACTATTTTTAATTTACGTGTATTTTTTGTGAGAGAAAATACTGTAGCGAACCACGAATCATGATTCGAATCAAGGAACGAATTCCTTTACCAAACAGGCTCGAGTCCCGATAAATATAAGATTCCACATAGCAGTATAGATGATTTTTTTAGTTATTTGGGATTCTTGAAATATGAGTATATTAATAAGTCAAAACTTGGGGTGTAACTAAAAATCTTAAACAATTCTCTTGTATTGCAATTTCAAAATTTTCAGGGCGCAGCAAATAGTGGTAGAAAAGGTTTTGGAAAAAATAATTGGGCACTTTACAGGAACAAGTTTTAAGCTTGAATTGACATATGTAAAAAAATATAAACTATTATAGAAAATGTCACAGTTAAAGATATTTAAAAATCATAAAATCTATAAAAAATTATAAATATATACATGAAAAATGACAAAAACTCTTACAAATTTCAAAGATACTGAATCAAATACATAAAAATACAAGTATAATTTTACTCAGTACATAAAAACTTTAATGATGTCATAGTAGTATATTTTGTAATAGTTTTAGTACTCATAACAAAAATCAATCCAATCTTAAAAATTATGGCGTATTGTCTAAATATCTCTAAAATTAAAAGGAGCTATATGGCGGCTTAAGAGGTTGTCTTGATTATGACACGGTTCTTCATACAGTAAAGTTAAATATAATAAAATTTTTTAGATACTGTAAAATAGTAAAATTTGAAATTTATAGTAAAATTTGAAATTATTAAAATGGTTATATAATTATAAAATTACAAAATGTGACATTGTTATGACTTATGATGATTATTACGTAATTTTTAATATATTTATAATCTTTTGGAATTTTTGTTAAATTTTAATTTAATGGGTTAAATTTTGCCAAGTTGTCTAATTCTGATAATACTTATAATTAAGCAATAAAGTCAAAACTAATAATATTTCTACCCTTCCCCCCCAAAAAAAAAAAAAGTTTATTTTTTGTTTAGTTTCACTTCTGACGAAATAGATATTTCAACGCCCCTAATTTATTCTGAAACCGTGTATTTAGTCAGAACAGAAAAACACGAAAAAGAAAAAAACAGAAGAAAAGAAAAGAAGAGAAAAATATGAAGGGTGATGAAGCCAAGCTTTTGCTCGGATTCGCTCCCAATTCTCGGCCTAGTCCTTCTCAGGTATCTATTATCGATTGTTCCAATTCTAAATTAACTTTAAGCGACCATAATTTCAATCTTCTGACTGATACCAATATCTGAGAATAGATGATGTTGAATGTTCTCTCATCTTTTGAGAATAGAATAGATGATGCTTTTTTATCTTTCAGCTGACCCAGTTCTCAATTTTAGTTTAGCTGATGCTAAAATGGGATGATGTTGAATACTTTGTCAGTTTTGGCAGTTCTTTTATGCTTCATCTTCTCTCTCTCTCCCTCCTAAATAGTAATTTAATTGAGAAGGTGTCAAACTGTAGGTGAAAGCAGCTTACAAAAGAAAGGTATGGGAGTGTCATCCTGACCTCTTCCCAGCTCGTCATAAAAAGCCTCTTGCAGAGTCTAACTTCAAACTGGTATACATAAATCATTTTGCTATTTATCCAAGTATTCTTAATTATATTTTCGTTTTCACTATTTAAAACATAAGAGCAATGCTTTAGCGTTTATAACTAGTAATTTAGCGTTTATAACTAGTAATTTAAAGATTTGATCCCACAGTTGTGATAGCTGAAAATTGTTTTGGTTTATTGTTTTTGGATTATATGTTGTTGATTTGAGGTAATAAGAGGTTCAGTTGCCTTGACTAAACAGTAAACACAATCAAGATGAAACTTTTATGTTGTTTTGTTATTCAGATGAAAGTGTATGGACTTCACATTTTTCAATAAAAGCGAAAGGAAAGGATCTTTTTAGATTAGTTCGTGGTGTATGTTTCACATTATGTTTGAATTCTCTTTGTGATCGTGGAATGGTTCTCACCTCGAGAAATAAATTTACTGCAGATATCAGAAGCTCACACTTTCCTTCTTTCGGGTAAATTCTCTGCTCTCCTCATATTTTGGTGGATATCAATTTGTTTCTGAGTCCCTAATTATCACACTCTGTTCGATATCGTCATGGAATTCCGTTTCTCTGTTACTTTTTAAGTTTGAATTTTTATTTAATTGTGTTACTTTTGTGTTACTTCTGAGTCCCTAATTATCACACTGCTCTCCTCTAAGTCACTATTTTCAACTTATCTTGCCTTCATTTTCTCTCGTATGTATTTTATGGTTGTGCGTTTGCCACAGACCGTCATGGTAGTTATTTAGGGACCCGTTAAGTTTTTAATGAATCTATGAGCATATAAAATCTTCGCAAAGTTCACATTTCAGTTAATCTGTTAGGCTTTGAGTTTGCAAACCGTGATATGAATGATAATCACATTGCTAGAAGGACTATCATGTAGAACTTCTCGATTGTGATTACATAACAGAAATAACTGCGACTGCAGCTAAGAGATCATAAGATTTTGATGTGTCAACTAAATTTTTTGCAGGTGGGAATGGTGAATATTTAAGTTCAGGTAATTACTTCCTAAATAAAGATTGCTTGAGATACTTTTTCCTTCATCGGAAAAAAAGAGGCTAATATGCTTTATGCTTCTTTGAAAAACATGTGTCTTGATTAGCAACATATTCGCGAGTTGTGAAAACGGGAGTTCCAAGGGCACAAGGGGGAAGTTACAGAAATCACGCTTTGATTCAAATGCCCTTCCTATTTCTTGTTCTGGGAACAGTTGCACTCGGAGGGTTTAATGCTTCCAGGTGATTGCTTATCAACTCCCCAATGTTATCATCTTCTTTTCCTTTTTACAGAATGTTGAATTGTTGTTGACCTGTTTGTTTTTTGTCAATTATCTCTTCTTGCTTGCCAGAGCTTACAAGAAGCAAAAAGAGGCATACCCTTCTCACAATCCCTTTCTTCCTTGATTTGGTCCTGTGACTGGTACCAAAGCGGATGCTCATTTAATGTTGGTGAATAGAAATGCTTCAAGAAATTAGTTTCCTGGTAACGAGTTTACTAGCGACGACATAAAATTCGCCGCTGAAGACTCTTTAACAGCAATACTAATGTCATCAATAAATACAACCCATAATTTAAAGGCAGTTAATATCTCTTATTTCTTTCTTGTTTCTTTGTTCTTTTGAGTTGAATTCGTTGCACATATTTGCACATTTTGATTGCTAACTTTTTGCCTGTATGTTGTAATGGTGCTCTCCTCTATATACGATTCTCTATTTCATTTTAAATCAATATTCTTGTTTTGTCTCTATTCTGTTTTTCTTCCATTTCTTGTCAGCGGATGCTTTTCACGGGTTCTTTACTCTATTGCATGGAGTAACAATAGCTCCAGTGTTTTCCGCTTTATTTTCATGCATTTTCTTTGCTTTTTAATTTTATTATCAGTTTAAAGTTTGGTGTTTTTTTTTTTTAAAAAAAAAAATTTAAATGTGATGAAAATGAATACTTGTAATTGTCCTTGGACAACAGCGTTACTACTACGGGACTAGGATAAAACAATTAGATTTAGCACAATAACACTGTGTTGGTCGAACGACATATCGTTCATCCTTTGAAACTGGCAAGTGAACAATCAATTAGATCGAAGTGGTTTATATACACATGCTATGAACGACTGCTATATGAAGACGGCACCAACGTAAGTGTGATATTACTATTGCTAATAAACCATACATATTAGGTAAAAGATTACTCTTCTAAAAATAATCCTCTCGACCAAATTTCAAATTCCTCCTTTATCCAAAGATTAGTAGCATTGAAGAAATGGCGCACTCTAGCCGTGTGCTCGCGGCAAAGAGCGGCGGCATATGATCACTCAACAATTTTAAGAGGCATCTTAGACAACAGCTTCCTTCTTTCATCTGCCCACATATCGACAGACATTAACATACCATAGCGCTGCTTTAGAGGGGCGGGGCTACAGTCGCGGAAAGAGGGAGGAAAAAAAAAAAGAAAAAAGAAAACAACAACACTACTACTCAATCACACGTGCAATAACAGAATCATAAAATTCGATATACCATGCCACTTCTTCAGAAGGTCCAAATTCAAATCCAAATTCGATTCCAGCCGAACTTGATTTCAACATAAGAAACAAAAGGCCTGCGAGGGTCCAGTCCAACAAAAACTATGATTACAACCATAATTATACAGGACAGCATATAGAAAAACACAAAACGCTTTAAAGGTATATTCTAATTACTATTAGCAATTGCTGCAGGTCTCATAGTCCCGGGTCCAAACCAACCTGCACTCGCAAATAACAACTTATTCAAGGATGAAATGAGTTGAGATGAGATTTAAGTTGTAACCAATTTTTCTCCCTGCGTTCTAGTCCTCTTTTCTCCCATCCAGAAGATTGGTGAAAGCAGTTTCCAAATTGAAAGCGTAACAACGCCCCCTGATACTAAGAATTGTAGGCATACCTCCCGCCACGTACTCACAGAATGCGACTCCACTACCGTACGCCATAAAACCCAAAAAAAAAAAAAAAAAAAAAAAAGACTCCAACATAAGAGTAAAACATGAATTCATGTTTACTTTTAGTTGCTTCCCAACAATTAACTATCTTCTTCAAGCCCTACGTAGAAACAATGGCCAACTTGGAATGGAGCTCTTCCACTAAGTCTCATATCCCTTAGTGCAAACTAGCTTCAGAAACTTTCGTCTCAATTTCCAGTAAACAGACATGTCCGCAGAACATACCGCATAATACCAGATTCAGGTGCAACTTTACCACAGCTACATGCTTGCCAAGACATATATGCTGAGACTTTCTGATGCAGGTCCTTCTACTTTCTATGGTTTAAATGGGCTACAGATAGGCCACAACATTCGACCAATGGAACTTGTAATGGGATAATTCCAGGTACTACGATTCTAAAAAAGGGTGGCTTCATGGCTGCATCTTTTCGGCAGCAACAAAAATGAGATTGTGCAATAGGTGACCACACCACAGTGGGGATTTTAAGTGTGTAGATACGTTACAAGTAACCTTGCAAATAAAAGGGGCAAAAAACGAAAGTACAAAATTAAACCTACTCCTACTTACTTGATTTACGATGTAAGAGTTGCCTTTACAGATATTCAGAAGCTGTCGTAATTCTTTCAAAGGTGATGATCCATAATTCTCGAGGTCCAAAAGAAGAAAAATGAAAAATGTTCTTGTAGCTGTAGCAAAATTTAATCCTCTTTTCCAATCACCAAACTGTTTTTCGGTCAAGCACCAGTTTCGGTACCTACATCAGGTTTGGTCTCCGCAAGGGTGATAGTAATCGGTTGCCATCCTGACTGGTGATGAGTGATCCATTTCTTCATGTTAATAATCATATTCAGGACCTGGAGTACTTCGCCCAAGGAAAGCTCTTCTAAGCATGATTTTTTTAGAACTAAAGCCGCTTCATATCTGAAAAGAAAATAAAGATTGCATTGATCTGTAATCAGAGCTCATTAATTCCAGGGACATGAAAGTCCTAACAATCTGAATAACATGGGTATCAAATGCCAACATAGTCATATTCTATAATTGCATTTACCTGCTTTGAGAAGCCAGCACTGCCAAACGTCCACTTGAGGAAGTCATGAAATTCTGTATCCTATCCCACATAGTTTTAGGGTACTGATTAAGATTGCCACCTATAGCATTTACACACTTCCATAATTTTTCATTTTTACCAACATATAACTGGACAGCACCTAAGTTCTGCTTCACTACCATATGTCGCTCAATCGCACAATCCAAGGCCTTCCTTACATCAGTATTGCGGTGCTTTGGATCCCCATATCGAATGCAATCAGTAATGTTCACCTCAGTAGGCATAATTTTTTCAACTTTCAGAGTGTTTAAGGCAAGTAAGATAACGCCAATTAGACCTTGAACATATTCTGAAGGTGGTGCACAGCCTTGGGTTCCCCAGACACCATTATTAGGAACATTGTTCGCAGCATTGGGGGTTGATTGCGGAGGCAAATATTCAGGACCACGAGGATACCTATTGTTCGTAGCATCATGATGAAATGCTTGTCCACTGTGGGAATTATGGCCTTTCAGAGGTCCATTAGAACTAGGTGGTAACAGTGACTCGGGAGGCCTTGGTTTGAACTCTTCTCCTGCTCGATGATGGAAATTTGGTGGATTTTGCACATAGTTGTATTCACCAATACTTAACTTACCGATATCAGGCACATTTGTAAGTGGAGCTGAAGAAAATCTAGGGCCATCGGGTCTAGGAGGAATTGGCCTAAAGCCATGATTGTGGGGATTAGGAGGAAACCTGTTATCAGGTCCGAAATTAGGTTGCATATGGAGGTTGTTTGGCCTCATAGGAGGGTAGTGATTAGGGGGATTGCTTATAACATTGTTCCCGTTACTGCCACTACCACCGAAGAATTCATGGGGTGCTTTCTTAAACTGCTTTGCATGTGTATGTTCCACTTGGAAAGGAAAATCATTAGTTTTATTTTGTTGTATTCCTACAGGCACATTTAAAGCCCTCGACATGATGGGCTGACTTTGAGTTTTCTTCAGGTTTTTCCCTTTATTCTTGGGATCACCAACCCTTCCAACATTATTAGGCTTTTGAATCCCCGATGGAAGACTTCCTTGGTAAGCCATAGGTTGGCTAATAGGGAACGGTTCAGGCACCAGGTATTGTGGTATTTCAGGGATAAAGGTTTGGTTACCATTAGCAAGCTGAGATGATTCACCAGTCGTAAGTGGTGATCCTCCAGCGGAGAGGCTTGTCCAAAGCCACACACTCTTTGCAGCAGCGATGAGAGCCGCAGAAGCTTTCTGCGGTTGCGCTAGAAGAATATTATATCTCCTCATTCGCAACTGATGAAGAGCATTTGAAAAATCTCTGTCGCCAGAAATGAGCAGATAATTCGCAGGTGCAGGGTTATCTACGGCCCAAAACAACATATCAACTAAGATTTTCTTGTCGCTCGCATCTTTCACACCTGTCCAAAACCTTAAACATGTCAGTGACACTCGGGAAAGGGGGAAAACACTCGTAAGAGATGATAAGATCGGAACAATCGACTTCTGCAAAAACCCACAGACCGTCACATCAAAAGTCTCTACTTTTTCATCACCTTTGTCTGTTTTCCGTTAAAAGCCCTAGAAAGGAAAAGATGAAATTGGCTGGGGAAATAGTACACGGAAAATTGAATAGAACGCCTATTAAACTATAATAAAGTAAGTAGAACAGAAAATTTAAGACAATTTCACGAACATGCGCATGTATTAAGAACCAAAAGAAAGACATTTCAAGATAGAGAGAGAGAGGATTACCAAGGGAGTTAGTGGGAAAAAAACCCTAGGAAGTAAATGATGAAATTGTGCGTACGAATAGTGCAAGGAAGATCAAATTGAATTGAAAACTGATTAAATTTAAGAGAAATTCAGAAACAAAAATAAATTTTTAGAGAGATGAGGGGGGGGAGACTACCGGCGGGGACGTGGTTAAGGCCGATGCCGGTGCTGGAGAGGGCTTGCTGGACGGAGGCGGGGATGCGATTGGTGTCGCCATAGGCGGAGATGGAGACGGGGCCATTGTAATTCATCTTGACGAGTGCGGAACTGATGTTCTGCGCGATGTTGTGGGGGTCGGAGCCCTTTGGGACCTGACAGTTCTCTATGTCCCACCACACCGACGTCTTCGCCCGCACATACTGCGCCTCCGCCTGTACCCCAAGCGGTCCACCGCCGCCGCCGCTGCTACTGCTGCTGCTGCTGCTGCTTCCGCCACTCACATCTCCACCCATCGCCGATCTCCGATTTCCTCGCTTTCTTCGTTAAATCTGATCGAAACCCTAAGAATTCTCTGCTTTCTTCTTTTTCTTTTTCGTCTTTTTCTTCTTAGCATCTACCAACGATCGATCTTATTCTCCCGGATTTCGGTTTCACCGTATTCTCTTCTCTTCTCTTCTTGTATATATGTATATATATATATATACATACACACACACATATATGGGAGATGCAAGAGGAGAGAGAATAGAAGAGTGGTGTCTACTGTGTCTCTTTCTTGAGAGATGAGACTTGTTTGGGCATTTCCTTTTGATGCCTTCTTCTTCTGCGAACGGCAATCGTTTTAAAGTACTACTTTGCTTTGCTTTGCTTTGCTTTGCTTAGTGTCGAGGAGATTCCACGGAGGGGCTCCGGTTAATGGACGATCTTGCCCCTGCAATCACGCGTTTGTCGCCTGGGACACGGGGACATTTTTTACTTCTAAGTACGACTGCTGATCGAGGGGTTGAAACTGCCAGTGTCAGTGAAAAACAGAATGGAATAGAAAAATACAATTATTAATTGCTTGTAGATCCTCAACTTATTTATAGTGTACAATTTAGATTTCGAATTTTTTTTACCTTCTTCGGTTAACTCTTTTTAACCGTTAAGATTTACATAAAATCACGTAAAAATTAAAAATACGTAAATAAAAAAATTTATCTTATTAATATATTAAGTGTACTAAAAAATTTTTTTTTTAATAAGTAGGATCAAAATTTAAAAATATGTTATAATTTTCTGATACGTTTAGCATGTTAGTAAATTAGATTTTTTCAACTATTAAATTTACATATTTTTTTTAATTTTTTACTTGATTTTATATAAATCTAACGAACAAAACACTTAATCTACCAATATATTAATATACCGAACAAAAAGTCCTTAATTTTAATTCAATAATTTATGGACGTCAATTGATTGACAGAAATGTTCAATTTTATACATATGTGAAATAAATATAATTTACAGATATTTAATCGTCCAAAGCTTCACAATATATACAAAATCATTATTTAGTTTCATTTAACCAATTAGAAATTAACTTGTAAAAAAATGTGAGATGATATTTTTTATAAAAATTTCTTAATAAAGAATTATGTGAGAATTTGTATAATATAAAATTGATATGAAAATATAGGTTGATAATTATTAATAGTAATATAGAGCATTATTCGTACGAATAAAAAAGAAAATCATACTTTAATATAGAATTCTCAAAATTTTCCATAGATAAAATATAAATAATATTGTAACACCCTCAAGAATTAATTAAGATTAATTAAGGTAATTGAGATTATTAGTGTGCCTAATCTGAATTATTAATTGAGTTTAATTAATAAATGTTTCTGACACGTGTGAGTTTAAATAGTTCCAAGATATTTAAATTATTCTCAGTAATTTATTTTAACCCAGAAGTGTGTATGGGCGCATTTCTGGACTGCTCTTTTAAAATATTGACACATGCCATTTTCTTTTTCTTTTCCTTTTCTTTTCTTTTCCTTTTTCCTTTTTCCTTTCCCGTGCACTCTCTCTCTCTCCTTCACTCTCACTCTCCCGCTCTCTCTCTCTCTCTCTCTCTCTCTCTCTCTCTCTCTCATTTGTGTCCTAAATCAAACGGATCTTGAACCAATAAAAGATTTCAAGAAGTTTTCAACGTCAAGAGAAGGATTCGAGGTAAGATTACTGAAAGAACCTCTCTTGAATCTCAAGTTTTTGAATTTCAAAACTTATTTTTGGTTCAAACCGGATTTTGATGGTTTTTTAGTAAAACTAGAGTAGAAATTGGAGATCTTGGGTTCTTTGGACTTGTCTTAGGACCTAGAACCCAGATCGGGGAGAACCCAAATTAGCTTCATTTGGGGACTTGAGATAGATGGATTAGCATTGGTAATCCTTGTTTTGAGATTGAAAACCCTTGGAATGATAATTTGAAACATTAAAATGGATTAGGGCACACTAATAGGAAATCTTGGTTGGAAATTGAGATT